GACCTAGAACAAAGCACACCTAGACATGACGGTTCTAGCTCGGCCAAAAGAAGTGTCACCTTAACCAGCAGTTTGATTTACCGAAATACAAACCGCAGGGCTGGTGGCGGTTTGCATATCGTCCCCATCCCCTGGCAGTCGACATGCAGGGGGTGTAGACATATGTACTCATTCTAACTAACTATAAAAAAGCGGTTAACTTTATAGAATTAAATTGCACAATTTCGAGGTGAGTTACACATGAACCCGCAATTAAAGGTTTTCACATCTTCACACTCACGGAAAAAGGAACTATATATGGCAACAAATAAAAAGTGAAAGAAAAACTAAATTGCATTAGCAAAAGGACAAAATACGACAAATGTGGCGAAGGGGACGACAGGGGGCGGAGGGCGGCGTGAGTAGGGGTGGCAATCGGTCGGTTTCGGTTTAACCGAAAACCGAAAATCCGGTTATCGGTTAAACCGAGACCCCCCTTAAGCTGCCGACCGAAGAAAGGTCACGATTAGCCGGCCAACCGACCGAGCGGTTCCAATTTCGGGCTCGGTTAGCCGGCCAACCGAAAAAATTACATTTTCCACAAAAAAAAATTAAATAAAACAAAAAAATCTCCACCACTCCTTCCTTATCTCCTCCTCTCTCCTTCCTTCCTCCACCAGACCTCTTCTCTCTCCTTCCTTCTTCTTCTCTCACCTTCTTTCTCCATGGAAACAAATCTGCTCATCTGCAGGGGTCGCCTCGGTGGTGAGGACAGGTGGGGAAGACACGCCGGCGCCGAGCAAGGGAGTAGGCGGCAGGGGCGCCGACGGCGGGGCTGGGGGAGATGAAAGGGAAGGTGGCCGTTTGTGAGCCCGAGTCGGCGCCGAGCAAGGGAGGAGGCGGCGGGGGGTGCCTTCGATCTTGCTGCCGAAGGCGGCAGGGTGCTCGATCCGAAGACAGAGGCGAGGCGGAGGGCAGAGGTGAGGGTTGAGGGAGAAGTGGAGAACGAAGGCCAGCAGTGCTAGGGTTGGGGGGGGAGTTGGCCTATTTAAGAGTAGGCAAAACGACGCCGTTTCGTCTCGGTCGGTTAGCGTCGGTTAGCCGGTTAACCGGCTTCGTTTTCTCGACTAACCGCTTGACCACTGATCCCTTCCGTCAACAAACCGCCCCTCTGTTTTTTCGGTTTCCGATTAGCCGCTAACCGGCGGTTAATGGTTAGACCGGCCGGTTAGCCGCTATCCGGCAACCGAAATGACAGCCCTAGGCGTGAGGGCTGCGGTGAAGTGGCAGCGGCGATGGTGTATGCGGGAGTGAGGGAGGTGAACGGCAGTGGGATGATATATGGGTTAGATTAGGTGTTTTTTTTTTATTTGTATGGGAGGAAGAATGATTGAGTGCGATATGTATTTTTCCTTTTAAAAGTGTCCTTAACTTAATTTTAACTATCAATTTGTAAAAGACAAGAAAGATATAGGAAAGAGAATGCATCTGATTGTTACAAAGTCGGTTGTAACTGTAACCCCAGACCCTTATAATATGGATGAGATGTTGATGTGATAAATAATTATGATGAGATTAAAGAGGTATTGATAAATTGAGTGTTTGGTAATTATGTCAAGATTTATTGAGGAGAATGAATTATTTATATCATTGAGATGAGTTGACGATTATATTGAGATCATGCAATGCATGAAAGTATATATGGATGATGTAGGATACCCATGTACTGGGAATATCAATGAGATGTTAATTTCTTAGATCGACTAAGATGACGATGGAAGAGAGAAATAGATATTGTTTGATCTTGTTAAATCATATAGACATAAAGAGAGCATATGCCTTCCCCTATGGCATTGATTGAGTTGCGGTCTTGATGAGAGGATTTATGATAATCCAAGATTTGATGACATTATGGTTTTTTATATAACTACTAAGATAATGAGCTAAAGCGGGCAGGTTGTATGGTAACCTTAGCGCGTAAATTAATAATAAATAGAGAGTCTGCATTTCATGTATTGCATATTATATGTGTTATAAAGACTATTTCGATGAAGGAAATTGTGAAGTTATATTTGATTGATGATTGATCTGATTATGCTTATACTGTCTGATTCATTATGGTCCGAGCAAGTAGACAATGTTGTGTAAAAAATAAATTAACAGATCGAACTATTAACTGAGAAAACGTGTGAGTTGCCTTAAAATCTGAATTTCAACACACATTCATAATTTAGATATTCTAAATCCAAGCAAATAACAAAGTCGTAAAGTCAGAGTAGCCCAACTTCCACCAAAGCACCATAAACAAAAACATAATATAATATCATAGGGATACAAGATTTGCAAAACTAGGATTGAGACTTTGGTCTCTTTTTTTTTTTAGTGGCCGCATAGGTTGCTAACTCGAATTGAAAAGTGTGATGTGTCTATAATCAGATCTAGTAAATTATGGTCCGGTAAATCATATTAATACATCTCATAATACATACGATGAACCAAACCATTTTTAACGGTCTACAATCTAGATCCAACCATTTGATCCTACAATTTTTTAAATTGTCCAATTTCTGTGGACTCGTGCTCCTCCGCATCTGCCAATATTATCTACCGACTACCTCTGCTCCACCAATCAGCCACCAAATCTTGGTTTTCCTCATCAGAGCACTTCGCTAGCTATATCTCTTATCTCAATTGCTTTTACCTTTTCATGTTTTTGCATGCATGATTTTGGCGGCATCTTGCATGGGCTGATTGAACCTAGACTTGAAGAATGGGTAAGTCAAGAAAGAAGCAAAACAGAGAACAAAAATAAAGTGGTGCCAGGCAGAATAATATCGTGGAGAGCTCCATCTCCCATCTTTCCCTTTCGACCTTTTGCAAATTGACCCCCCCATCCACAAGCCGTTTCTGAAGTGCCTGATAACAAGGTATACGTATTACTGGCACAATATTCTCAGAATCGATCTGTGCTCAAAAGTTGGTCCTTGGAGGAAGGACATTTGCACCATATGCCTGATTTATGACCAGGTTCCCTACATACTCTGCCAATTCTCTACATGCAGGATAGCTAGCTAGCTAACTACTTTTGTCAGCTGTCCCCTTGAGTTCTCCTGATCACTTCATTGTGGTGGCTCTAGATCAGCATCCTATACTGAAGTGTTTGGGGGAACTCTGGGTGGCATTTGACGCGATAACTCAAGTTATTGGAGACAGGAAAAAAACTGTAGCAAGCAGGCTAGCTAGCTAACTACTTTTGTCAGCTGTCCCCTTGAGTTCTCTTGATCATTTCATTGTGGTGGCTCTATCAGCATCCTACACTGAAGTGTTTGGGGGAACTCTGGGTGGCATTTGACGCGATAATTCAAGTTGTTGGAAACATACGTCTCCTCGATGATGATCAGGTTTACCTCATTGCTTTGGCCAATATTATACAACTTCCATCATGACTGGAATTTACCCTAAACAGTCCCATGGCTAGTATTTTAATTGTTCTGGACCAGTAATTTTTCTGTTGAGAGACAGATTCTGCCTTTGATTTTGCCTATTCATCAGTTCAATTCCTTCGCACATGTTGACATTACACAGGTGGATTTGGTTAATTATTCTGTTTCAGATTGCAGCAAAAGCTTCCTCGCAGCCAGGGCTAGAAGAAGAATTTTTTCTACTGAAAAATGAGTAAGAGAAAACTAAGGGAGTGGGATTTGAATCATGATACCCATGCTGTACACATGCAACTTGCTTCTTGGGAAGTCTGAAGGCGGAAATTGGCTAAGGTTTGGCCGCAGATCAAAGTGCTCTTTAAGCCAGAGTTTCTGGAAGGCAATCCCGGATAAACAGGAAGGCTGAATGATTAGAATCAGAAAAAAGTGTAACCATCTATCCTTTATGGGGAGCCTTGAAATAAGATGTCCTTGTGAGAAAGTTGACATGTAAGAACAAGAGAGGCAAGACCTCTTCAAGATAAGCTTCACATTTTGCAGACATCATAATTCTGTACTCATTCTAACAACCTATAAAAAGGCAGCAAACTTTATGCAATCATCACTTTTTATGGACACTATTAAGAGCAGCTCCACGATTCTGAGTTAGCAAGTTGATTCAAATCATTGTAAGAAATACAGGAATTGGGGTTGTCAAGAAATTGAAAAGGATAATTAGAGAGGATTAAGGACATAATTTATGAATTTGGAGAGGAAATTGGGGGGAAGAGGGGGGGAAGAAAGGTAGCTAGGCTGAGGAAGAATTGGGAGAGAGATATCTGTGTTTAACTTATTCTATTTTTTGCTTGACTTCCAAAGAAAATCTCAAAGTGTATATTTATAAGAAAATACCCAAAATCCTAATAATAATTATGATCTTGCTCGGCTCGGACTTGGCCGCCTGTTTCCTTAAACAGACTTAATAATAATTATAATAATATAGAGTAACAAATAAGCGTGTTTCTAATCATCCAACCTCCTTAAAGATTCTTCCCCTAAAAAATCTTGACTTCTACTTCCAATTCAAGGAACGATCACTCATTCTTGTCCTCGATACTCCAGCTCCAAAGATGAATTTCCAAGATCCACATAAGAGCTTCCCTGGCGCAGCGAGAGGATAAGCATCACTTGCAGTCTCTGAATGAGAATTGCGATAAACTCATACTCGTAATCGAAGTTTTGATACCAAAAGTAAGAAAAACATGAATTGGGGGTTGATTTAGTGATTGAAGAGGAGAATTAGTGAGGATTGAGGACAAAATTTATGGATTTGGAAAGAAATTGGGGAGAAAAGAGCAGAATGGCCGGCGGTCTAGCTAAAGAGGGGAAGAGAATTAACTCTAATAATAACCTTATAATAACTCTAATCTTGCTTGACTCTGCTTGCACGCCTCCCAAACTTAAAATGATAGTAACAAATAATCGTGTTTCTAACCATCATACCAAAACAAAACTCAAGTTTGGGCTACAATTTGTCAGCTTGTGATTGGCCAGGACCTATAAATAGCAAAGGGTGCTTTCATGTACCCTTAACACAAATTTGGCAGAGAATCGCATCAAGGTTAAGCTTTCAGTATGAGCTAGCTTACACTTTTGGTTCACATTAATTGATTGGACATCTGAGCAAGAATGGCCAACAATCACTTCCTTCTCCTTCTTCTCTGTCTATCTTCCATGCTGGGCAGCATTTCAGCCATTGTAAGTACATTTAGATACATTTAAATCTTCCATTCCATGTTTAATGAAGTAAAGGTAACCCACTAATCCACCATTAATCCAGTGGCTGAATCACGGTGCTGATATAACCAATTCAAGGCGCGCGATCGGGGAGGTGCTGATCAACAGGTTCACAGTCAAGAACCTGAAGCTAAGATGGACATTCTATGCAGGCAGAGACATTTCAGCAACTCCAGCAGTAGCCGACGGAGTCGTCTACTTCCCGTCCTGGAACGGCTACATCTATGCAGTGACGGCTTCTCGTGGCAACCTGATATGGCAGCAGAACTTGAACCAGTTGACAGGACTGAATGGAACTGGTGTTGTTGTCAATGTGACAGTGTCCAGGACAACGCCAACAATTGCTGGTGATCTCGCCATCTTTGGAATTTATGGCCCTGCTGTTGTGATTGCTGTCGATAGACGGACTGGAAGGCTTGTTTGGTCTACTCAGCTCGATCCTCGCCCCAGGGTCCTAATCACTCAGTCCGGAACATACTTCAATAGGTTAGTAAAATTTGTATCACGGTGTTTATGAAGAAGTGTAGCCTAGGGGACTACAAACCTCACTAGCTCTCTTGAATTACCTTTTTCCAGTTACCCTTTCTCTTCTTCCTGCTGAAAGTTTCAACCTTTAATGGATTCCTTGTTATCTGAATTGTCCCTTCAACAGGGCACTGTACATTGGTGTTTCATCCCTAGAAGAAGGGCTACCAGCAGAACAATGCTGCACATTCAGAGGCAGAATGACAAAGCTAGACATCAAAACAGGAGCAGTCCTGTGGAACACCTATATGATTCCTGACAATGGAGGCCAAAGGGGAGGCTACGCAGGAGCTGCGATTTGGGGGAGCAGCCCTGCAATCGATGTCGCGAGGAGATTGGTCTACGTGGCAACTGGGAATCTCTACTCAGTTCCACCTGAAGTGTCTGAGTGCCAGGAAGCTCAAAACAACCAGACAACAAAACCAAACCAACCAGATCAGTGTGTTGCTGCTGACGTACACTATGACTCGATCCTGGCTCTTGAGTTGGACAGTGGGAAGATCAGATGGGCCAGGCAGCTTGGTGGCTATGATGTTTTCTATTTTGCATGTTTGGTTCCTAATAACCCTGACTGTCCACCTGGGCCTAACCCTGATGCAGACTTTGGGGAAGCTCCTATGTTGCTCACTAGTTTCATCAATGGAACAATTCGCGACATTGTGGTGGCTGTCCAGAAGAGTGGCTTTGCTTGGGCTCTTGATCGTGATAGTGGAGCTATCGTGTGGTTCAATGTAAGTACCTGAAAGGGTTTCAATGGGTGATACTTTTCTCCACAGCTCATTCACATTGGACCAGCCCTCAATTTGCTCACTTTATCAGTGTAGAGTTGAGAGTCGATTGGGTTATGGGTCGATCAGATAAGTTGATCAAGTCACAAATTGAGCAATTTGTGCGTCGTTGGTTGTTGGAGCAGCTTGATTTGTGTGCGTATTTGATTTAGACGTGTTGTCAGGTCGGGCTAGATTCTGAAAACTAACCGGAAACGAAGCTTTGGTTGTGCAGGAAGCAGGGCCAGGAGGCGCGGAGGGAGGAGGACAATGGGGAGCAGCAACAGATGGGAAAAGAGTTTACACAAACATTGCCAACAGCGACCGTCAGAGCTTCACCCTCGCACCATCTAGCCAAACTACAACAGCAGGAGCGTGGGTGGCTCTGGATGCATGCTCTGGCGAAATCCTGTGGACCACTGCAAATCCGAGCAACGACACATCACAAGCCCCTGTCTCAGTGGTAAATGATGTGCTGCTGGCTGGCTCTGTGGCTTCCAATGGACCCATATATGCAATGGATACAAGAACTGGGGAGATCTTGTGGTCCTACAATACCGGTGCCACGGTGTATGGTGGCATATCGGCGAGCTATGGTTGTATCTTCCTTGGCAATGGTTACACCGTTGGATTGGCAAGGTTCCACACTACTTGGACTCCTGGAACATCACTCTATGCATTCTGTTTATCCTGAAAGATCAAAAAAAGACTTCCAAGCTTTACTGCAAAACTGAACCAAGAAGATTAATAAAAACCCAGACATGGGCATATGTCTTGAGAGCCTTCCCTTCATCTATGGCAGTCTCTGTATCTCTTACTAACACTTGCTGGATTTTGTGAATGAATGAATGGTCGATTTGAATGTGGACAGAAATGTGGGAAGAAGAATTGGGAGATAGAAGGGAATATGGGTCCACTCAACTTCATCAAGAGCCATATTCTCTTTGAAACTTCCATACTACCCACAATTCTATCCAGATTCACTTACTGTATAGTTGGTTTGCTTTATAAGGCCAGAAGGGTAACTAGTGAATGGGCAAGTCGTCCTGCAGGTAGCCTATAAATAGCTAGATCCTATCATATGTCCCAGCATAGAAACCAAAACCAGACCAGAAAGTCAAATGTCTACTGGAGTTCCCTTGACCACTTCATTGGGGGATTTACAGTCTTTTGACCCACTGAAGTGTTTGGGGGAACTCTAGGGGGCCATTTGACAATGACTAGCCTGAGAGAGAGGTCTCAACAAACATTTGCTTCATCAAATGATCTTCTCATCCCGTCCTCTAAAGGTCTCGTGTTCGAATCACTCTTCTCAACACCCCAGGTTCATTGCGCCACAATTTTCTCATCTCACCCATTTTTTGCATCTATTCACTGATACTGTGGAGGCAAATGGTGATTTTAATGATACCCTTTTCCCAGAAAACATAATAGATTTTGAAATTGGAAGTTTTCTGTCAAAAACATCTAATATATGACAAACAAAAGACAAGCATGATGTTTTAGCATCTGTTAAGGCCAGTAGCTATTCACCATAAACATCATAATCACAAACATAAACACAAAATGCTTCACATATCAACCTCTAATTACATCTACCTCGGAAAATATTCAACTCGACAGCTTTTTCTCTTTAACCCCAAGCACGATGTAGTAGCATCCATGCAGAACACAACTCCTTCCAAATCACCTTCTCCAGTCGGGTCTAATCATCCTGTCTGAAACTGGCACAAAGGACATAGCTGATATTAGAACTTGTCATTGTCTAATTTACTATACTGTGAAAACAAAGTTGAGTGAGCATTTGTATTGAGAAGAAATCTTTATTGCACATTTTGCCTCAATAAATCGTGCTTACCACTGCCGTCTCTGGAAGTGGTTAGAGATCTGTCGCTCCTGATAAACCCTTTACTTGCTGAGTGGACAGGTCTATTATGAGCTCTTGGTGACATGGAAGCACACTTCTCATTGATGGAAGATGGCAGCGAATGTCGCCTAGTTGCTGTACCATCCTTCTCCACTACTACATCTTGTGCGAACACTGGGGGTCCTTGGGCTCTCAGCTTAGCCCTCACAGATTCAGTTGGTGCCATATAACTTGGACGTTTGGGTATCCCAAGTCCACCATTCTCCTGTTGGTCAGTATTGGCAGGCAATGAAGCTCTTCTTTGGCTTGTTTTCGGGTTCTCACTTCCTGTAAGCCTGTCATGTGGATCCAACAGTACATTATTGTTCTCTTCGACATTAGTAAGTACCCCATTGACCTCTGGAGTTGACATATCCTCTGTGGTGTTCAGTTTTGTACTTGGGATTACATCAGCTTCTTCACCTGAAACTTCTACTGGAACATCTTTTGCCACATCAGCAGAAACATGGCTGTCCAGCTGCTCTAAAGCCTCAAGGGCACAAGTACCAGATGTCTTCTTTGAAATGAGCTTTGGCTTAATATCTTCAACTCTTTCAACAGCTTCCGTTGCAGATCCAGAAGCCTTTCTCGAAGTGTGTTTGACCCTAACTATTTCTTTTTCTGGATGCTTGTTGTCAGCCGCATCTACAGTAGGGCTAGCAGACTTTCTAGGATTGCGTTTTGGTTTGTTGGACTCCAAATGCTTCCCATGTATGCCATTGGCAACATTAAGACTAGATGACTTTCTGGCAGCTTGTTTTTGTCTGCCTCGTTGAGTTTCAACTCTTTGTACACTATCTTGCTTAGTCGTGGAGTTTGATTCTAGATTGATCTTCCGTTGTGAAATATGTTTCCAGAAGTCTGACTTTGTCCAGCGGTCCAGCCACATCATGGCTGAATTGGGTTCCGCAGGAGCATACTTGAGGGATAGAGGCATTGCAGTAGCTGTTGAAGTTAAAAGCTGTAAAAGAACAGAAGAGTTACATACTTACAAATTAAGTGACTAATCACTCACATCTGTCACATAGGGATAATGGAGTTCAGTTCAAATCTCACCTTTCTAACAAACGCATTCTCAAATTTCTGTCCTAATAATGTGCATTTAGGATTTCCTCGAGTAGCATTTGAAGCCTGGTATATCATAATCACATGAAGTTACTTAACATCGCGTGTTAAATAATCGTCTATAGCATGAACATATGAACAAATATATAGTCATTATTGTGCTGCCCAGCCACTTAAGGTCCAGGAGTTAGCAACTCTTACCAGAAGTTTATCAAGGCTGATAGTCTTCTGCACTTCAATTCCAAGACTTGAACATCTAACAGTTTGACCTCGAACAAGTGCTTGAAACTTTATAATGGCCAATACACAATTTAAGGTAGCTATAGCTTGCCTTCTGACCAATTGGCCACGGATAACTGTCTGCAACTTTATTATATGTCCTTGCTCTTCAGATTCATGAGGGGCCTTCAAAAAAGAAACATGAAGGTCAATCAATTAACAGCAACCAACCAAACATAGAGTTACTTCCTGCATTAGTTATTACAAAGGCAACTGAAGAATTCTGTGAACCAGTCGCGAATACTGAATATGATGATTGATTGGCTACAGAATATGCAATCGCTCTTTAGTTATCAGAAGCTAGGTTCTAGGGAAATGAGGAAATAAAATTTAATTCATATTGTAAGAGGTAAGAACTACATATTGAGAGAAAATGGCTCACAGGAGCTGGAAATTGCCTCGTTTAAATGAAGAATGGAACCAATCTAAGTAAAAGGAAACTGGAAACGCTACCACCAAAGGGAACCAATAGTATAAACACCTCATTGTTCCTTTGGTGGCTACAGAATATCCAGTCGCTCTTTAGTTATTAGAAGCAAGGTTCTAGGGAAATGAGGACAGTAAACTTAATTCATATACTACCTACTTTAAGAGGTAAGAACTACACATTGAGAGAAAAATGGCTTGCAGGAGCTGGAAATTGCCTCATTTAACTGAAGAATGGAACCAATCTAAGTAAAATGAAACTGGAAACGGTACCACCAAAGGGACAACCAATAGTATAAACACCTCATTGACAAAGCTCATGTTACATAACCTAGGTACATTGACTCTCACACCTTTAGAAAAAATGTCCATAAATAATAATGAATGGAAGTTTACATATTGGGATAATGAAGACGAAACTAGAGTTACAGACTTGTTAAAAGAGGATAACGAAGGGAAATAAAAGGGTACCAGATCGCCTCTAACATCTGCCTGTGCCACCACTCCAGCTTCCTGAAGCCTCACTGTCTCAGAAGCATTACCTGAACTTGTTGCCGAACTCCCATTTTCACCTTCCTTTTCACAAACAATAGCAACCTTCTCAGCCCATGGCTCGGCGATTGCAGCACGTTTCGAAGTCACTCCACTGCCAACTCCAACTCCCGGAACTGACTGAGAAACTGTGCGTGTTTCAGGATTTCCTACCAAATCTGTTAAAGGTGCCTTCGAGGGAACTAATGGCTCTCCATAATTTGGTTTCTAAACAGCCATGAACAAGAAGAAGTGTTACAATTTTGCTCTCTTAAGAACTTCATGTATCATTCTAGCTTTTAATAAAAAAACTGGAGTTATTCGTCTTCCACCCAGGGGATAAAGATAACAGGTTACTTACTACAACATCCTTTTCTTTCGAAAGACTAGATTTTGATGACTTCTTCCCACGAATCAAGGACTTCAACCACTTCCCTGGAGATTTCCCCATTGGTTAAAGGGTTAATGAGACAACTCCAGGACTCTAATCTCTGCATAACCATCAAAAGGAAAAGATAAGACTTGCTGGCAAAATGGCATTAACTGCTGGACTGGAGAGATGCAAAACTTCAGTTCTCAGCATATAGAGATGCCACCAACTTCCAACAGCAGCTATATGAACTACACACAGAACCCTAGACCCACCAAAAATCAAACCCACCACAAAAAGAAATAAAATTGCCAGCAAACCACATTTATATTCCCTTCAAATTAAGGTCAAGAACGGCAAACATGACTGCAGAACAAACTTGGTAGCCTAAAGGCTAAGAAAGTAGAAGAGAGATCCTGCATGTAAGCACCTGCAGAGTTAGGAGAAGGCGAGATCTGAACTTCCATTAACAATGCACCAACTTTCTAACACGAACTTACTAGAAACTCCATAACTACCCAACTCGTAAGTTCAAGAAGTGGCCATGGCAGGGAAACAATAAATAGCAAAACAAAAGAAGCGAGTGAGGTAGTTTAGAGATCTAGCCTAGAGGCTGATCATTGAAATGAGAAGCGAGAAGGGAAAGATACCTAGAATGGTGACCCGAGCAGATGCAAGCTTTGGTTTCAGGCTTAGTTTTGCATAAGATTCCGTTTCTTTCAGCAGCAGAAGCAGACAAAGCAAAAGCATGGAACTTCCGATGAACAGCAGAACAAGGCTCTTAACTTTATTTGGGTATATATATTGCAAGAAGAAGGAGACGAACGGATAGCGACTCGGCAACTGGAAAAGAAAAAGAAAGAAACCAACATCCTGCAGACGGCGCCGTTCGTGGCCGTGGGCTTCTCATTCAATCAGTCTTTGGAGAATACAAACAATTTAGATTCCAAGTAACCTACATTTTCCAGGAAAGATGTCTGCTTCACGGCTAGGGATGGCAATTGGTCGGGTTGGATCGGGTTTTGCCAAACCCAAACTCATGGGTTTATCTTTGAAAAAAACCCGGGGTAAAACCCACTGGGTTTGAAAAACTCAAACCCAACCCAACCCGTTGGGTACCCGCGGGTTCATGGGTACCCACGGGTTTTGTCGTAAAAAATTTACAATTACAAGTTCTTATCAAAATTAAAGTCAAATATCAATCTCTCAATACAAATTATCCATATGTAAAACATCATTCTAGAAAATTCAAGCAAATCACAAATTAACTATACAAATTGTTCAACACCAATCTAGAAAACTAAAAAAAAAATGAAGCAAATCACAAATTTTCCATAAATAACATGTTTAATTGAAAGCTTCTTCCTTTCAATTAAGTTTCTTTACTCTTCACTCCATAACATCAACTTCATTCTACACAATTAAAAAGAAAAAATTAGACACGTCTCCACAAACATAAATAAGATTAGTTGTTTAGAATATTAAATATACCAAAAAAATTAATTATATGGGTGGGCGGGTACCCACGGGCCGGGTTTACCTAAACCCAAATCCAACCCAACCCGTTGAATAGTGAACGGGTTTAAACCCAAACCCGGCCCAAAACCCGTCAACACGGATTTTACCCGCGTTGACCGGGTTGGGTCGGGTGGGTACCCGTGGGTTCGGGTTTTGTTGCCATCCCTATTCACGGCTTGTTTGTTTGGTATGGATTGTGTTAGTGAATAGAATTTTCATTTCTTGCAACTGTGGTGATTATTTTCAAGAGTAAATCTGAAAACAAGTTACCACTCATGTTTCAATGTTTTAATGTTAGTTATCATAAACAGTCAAACAATTTGTCACTTAGTACTAAACAGTCATTAAAGTTCAATTTTTTAAATTTCAGTAAAATACGTTTGTACGAATAACAAAAATGCCTAATCACCCTAACACGAAAAGAATTAAATCCCGGTCTGCCACTTTCATAAAACCCCTCCTCACAAGCCCTACCCTTACTTCAATTACACACAACATGTTTCCGAGTCTGGCCCAGATATTATCCGGAAAAAATCCCAAAGTACACTAGTTTTTAAAAAAATTTCCCAAAATACATAAGTTATAAAAAAAATTCCAAAAGTACACATGTTTGAGCATCACCGTTTTAGACAAAAACGGTGAAGGTCATCACCGCTTTTGACCAAGACGGTTAATACTTCACCGTTTCAAACTAAAACGGTGAAGGGTTCACCGCGTTTGTTAAGAACGGTGAATACTTCACCGTTTTAAACAAAAACGGTGAAGTCTTCATTTGAATTCCAAGTATTTTGATAACTCTAAATGGTTCTCCTCGTCGATACGATCGCGCTGCCGAAAACGGCTCGTTATTTCGACCTCAAACGAATAAGATACGCGCGTTTTAGTTTTTAGTACGCAAAAGTTACTTTAACGACATGTGCAGCTTTGAACTCACTTATCTCACTCGTTTGGACTCGGAATTGAGATCTGTAAAATTCTATGTGATCGTGGTTGATTTTCCCAACCTTTTTGTGTTGAGGGAAGATAATGATTCTTGATAAAATGATCCAGAATATTCATTCGACAACTTAAGTGCGTAGGATAGTTTTTAGACAATGCAAACTCAAATAACAACACCTAAAAATCACAAAAACAACATTGATAGTTCACTACAATGATAAAATGATAAATTCACTCATTTGCTTCATTTTGGCCCCTATCTCCACCTCTTCCTCCTCGTCCTCCACGACGTCCTCGACCCCTTCTTCCCCCCTCCGCCACTGCTTCTTGGCGGGCTCGCTCAACGGCTGGTCGCGGATTTCTCTTGACCCGAGCCCCAACTGGGGTTACATATGGTGGTGGTGGTGGCTGAGTTGGACCGGTAGCTTGACGAATGATCGGGGGGTTCGGAGTTTGTTGTTGCGGATGTTGGAATTGAGAGAACCCATGATGTTGTTACATCATGGGTTCTCTCAATTCCAACATCCGCAACAACAAACTCGTGGAGGACGAGGAGGAAGAGGTGGAGATGAGGGCCAAAATGAAGCAAATGAGTGAATTTATCGTTTTATCATTGTAGTGAACTATCAATGTTGTTTTTGTGATTTTTAGGTGTTGTTATTTGAGTTTGCATGGTCTAAAAACTATCCTACGCACTTAAGTTGTCGAATGAATATTCTGGATCATTTTATCAAGAATCATTATCTTCCCTCAACACAAAAGAGTTGGGAAAATCAACCACGATCACATAGAATTTTACAGATCTCAATTCCGAGTCCAAACGAGTGAGATAAGTGAGTTCAAAGCTGCACATGTCGTTAAAGTAATTACTTTTGCGTACTAAAAACTAAAACGCGCGTATCTTATTCGTTTGAGGTCGAAATAACGAGCCGTTTTCGGCAGCGCGATCGTATCGACGAGGAGAACCATTTAGAGTTATCAAAATACTTGGAATTCAAATGAAGACTTCACCGTTTTTGTTTAAAACGGTGAAGTATTCACCGTTCTTAACAAACGCGGTGAACCCTTCACCGTTTTAGTTTGAAACGGTGAAGTATTCACCGTCTTGGTCAAAAGCGGTGATGACCTTCACCGTTTTTGTCTAAAACGGTGATGCTCAAACATGTGTACTTTTGGAATTTTTTTTATAACTTATGTATTTTGGGAATTTTTTTTAAAAACTAGTGTACTTTGGGATTTTTTCCGATATTATCCATCATTTTGAGGATCGCGATGCCACGTTGGATTAATAGTAGTGGTGCTCCGCAACCCTTTCCGATAAAAACAAAAAAAAACATATCAACCAAAAACGTAAGAAAAAGTAAAACCATTTTTCACTTTTCCTTTTTTTCTCGCAAAAAATTGTCGAACGAGAGCTATCTCTCTTCATTCACAAACACCCTATGAAGCGCCAGGAAAGCCGACCCAAGATCGAGCATGAACAACAAGCTGCGGATTTGGAAGCAGCTGCAGTAGTACTGGATCCACAATTGAATGACGTCGCAGATGTATGGCTGAAACTGGAGACCATGGAGAACGCCAAGAAATACTTGCAGGAAGGAATCGATCGGTTGAGGGACGAGATCGCGCGGGCGGCCAAGTTTGGAGGCACCGTGAATAAGGCATTTGATGAAGCGACAAATTATTTGATGGAGGAAAATCAAAAACCTGAAGCAGGTCTGGAATCCAACAGCGGTCACTACAGAGACCTGGTGGAGGTTGTTGAAGGGAGGAAAAGAAAGGTTCAAGAGGTCGAGGAGGCGCTCCAGAAACTCAAGGCCGAAACAATGGAGTGGAAGCGGGTCATATTGGATTCGTTGCCGTTTTTCTTGCCAGCGGCGTTGCTGTTTACTATGTTTGCGGTTTCTTCTATCTACAAAAGGGCTTGTCCGCCGTTAGCTAGCAAACTGGATGGTTTGTTTTGATCAGTCGCCTCCAGATATCTTCTAGGGTGAATTCATCGATCTTGTTTTATTATTTAATTTGATCCAAATCTACTCTTATACCACAAATTAAGAATCCCACAAACAGTATATTCGATGTTCTTCAATGCTTGCTGGGTAGCCATTGTCTGCTTGCGGCTCCCCATTGATTTATGCATTGATTCAATCTTCTTTCCATCCTTGATTCAATCCAATCTGCTAACTTGATCTTATGAGATTCTTTAGTCCAACAAACTTGTAGTAAGTTTTACAAGGTTTCTATTCTATTTTATGAGTTTTGTGATGTAGTAAGTTTCTAACTACATTATGAGCTTTCTACTATACTATGTAGTTTGGTTTGTCGTATTTTTCTATTTGAGTTTCTATTATGTTTTATGATACTTGTGGTCTACATGTGTTCCTCTATAACTTTCAATAATGACAAGCATGTCTCCCTTTAAAACTCAACATTAAATATGATCACCCTCTTAAACATAAAAATCAGGGGAAAAAATTATATTGCATTGAGTTAGTGTTAGCATCATGCTAACAAATGAGTTGTTATCACCCTATCATAATCCTAATTTATTTATGATACTCTGTAATGTTTGTAAAGTTTATATGACTAAAAAATAGTCTGGTTAATTTTTGTATGAAAATCCTCTATATTGAGTCTGAGCCTCCAAAGTCAACCGGTTTATTTCCTATTTTATATGGTTTGTAAATGTAATTTGTATAGTTTGACGGCCTAATTTATCATTTTTGTCTATCATGTTTGTAATGTTTGTATGTCTAAAAAAACTGGTTGACTTTGGAATGAAACTCCTCTATATAGGGATGGAGCTTTCAAAGTCAACGTGGTTGTTTTTCCATTTTGTATTGTTTCTCGATCTAGTTTGTCATTTTTGTCCACCATGTTTGTATCTCTAAAAAAAATCTGGTTCACTTTGGGACGGATCTCTTCTATATAGGGACAGAGTCTCCAAAGTCAACATGGTTGTTCTTCCATTTTGTATGATTTGTATTGTTTGTCGGTCTAATTTGTATTGTTGGAAAATCTGGTTTATATGGTTTGTTCTTCTAGTTTTTATTGTTTGTATGGTTTTTAGGTTCAATTTGTATAGTTCGTAATTTTTCATAATACCCAAATAACCTCTATCACTAATTAGAAAGTTCTTTTCATTTTTTAACCGTTAAATTGATGTATCTAAACTAGAAGGAGCTTAGTCAAATAATTAAGTAGACACTTAGGGGTCGTTTGGAAGTTGTGATTTCAAATGATGTATTGATCTAATTCATGTATTTGTGAGATTAAGTCGTTTTTCTGGTTTATATAGAAGGGTTAATATTTTCGTATGGTCTGAACTTTGACTAAAATAAACATCCTGGCCAATCTTTTCGATCTATAACATCCTAGCCCGAACTATACACCAAAATAAACAATTTGGCCAAACCCGATGTTTGACCGTTAACTTGGACGGTCAAACGCGTTGACTAACGGTCAACGCGCCACGTCACTGTCAAGTCAGAAGATCTGATAAATATTTGATATTTTCGTTTTTTATTTTTGGTTTAACTAAGGTATTAGATGATTTTTTTTAATTTATAATAACTTAAAGTTAGGAAATGTGTGGAAATTGTGAATTATTTTAAATATTTTATGCTGACTTGGCAGTGACATGGCGCGTTGACTAACAGTCAACGCGTTTGACCGTCCAAGTTAACGGTCAAAAGTCCGATCTGGCCAAATTGTTTATTTTGGTGTATAGTTCGGGCCAGGATGTTATAGATCGAAAAGATTGGCCAGGATGTTTATTTTGGTCAAAGTTCAGGCCATACGAAAATATTAACCCTATATAGAACTAGAACACATGCATTTACTTTTTAGAGGCCCCACCACAATCACTCAATATTGAGGTTCTTCACAATCACTCAATACTAACTTTTTTACCTTTGGAACAAAAACACAATTTAAACCTCCAAACAAGATATTTACCTAATACATCAATTGATTCAATCCATCAAATGATAATACACTAATTGTCTCAATACATCAATTTGAAGAATCACAACTTCCAAACAACCCTTTAGTCATAGGATCCGCATTCCAAGAGTACCTTGATGTTGTCATGACGCCTTACAAAACTATTCTATCACTTGAACAGAATTGAACGTCGCTCAAATTGGATCTATCCAAGCCCCCGTTGATTTTTTATCATATCTAATTGATTTAGCTAAGTGGTATATATTGGCATATTTCACTTAACACTAGGAATATCGCCTATATTAGTGGATCTTTAAAAAATAAATTATTAATTATTTTATGTGTTTTGATTTGCTTTGCTTCTATCTATTTATGAAAGTTTAAGGTTAGCCATTTGATAGGTGATTGGATCAAGTGTGCGGGAAAAATGTACAACGCACATGATTGAGGATACAGTGATCAGTAAATTTATGGTGTATAACTTGCATAACAAGATCTAGCTCCTTTATTTAAAGTGTGCGGGAAAATGTACAAAGACAAGGTTCAGAATATAGTGATTAGTAACCTTATGGCGTATAACTTGCATAACAAAATCTAGCTCTTCATTTAAAGTGGGCCTCAGATCTAAGAGTCGGGTTTATTTATTTTATTTTATTTTCTAGTATTCTTGTGGTATGATGGACAAGAAAACACATGAATTTGTACAAAAGTCATTGAAGATATAGTTTGATTTGAAGAATTTAGGATTTAGGTATTTAGGGTTATGGTTCACAATTTGTGGTTGAGGGTTGGTGTTCAAAATTGAAGTATGGAGTATGATGATGAATTGATTAGTTGTGATCCTTTGTTATATTATCATATTTGACTAATTCTACGAGTTAAAGTTCAAAATTCGATATCTTATAACTACTTTAGAGTTGAGTGTAATAAATGCACCCAAAAAGTGAGTATAACCAAGTAGCCACCATATATAAACGCATCACTTCATAAAAAAATTACAATATTTCATAAAAAAAAAATCGTATGTAAGAATTTCTCGTTAATGAAACCCATTTCCATGCATTCCCCAGAGATTATTATTGCAAAGTGCAAACCCTAGCTACCAAAGTTTCTTTCTTCGCATACCGTACCGATCTCTCTTCCTCTTCCGTATCTCTTCTATTCCAATCAAACAACCCGATGAATCCATTCCATTAATTCTTCAACCACGAACAGAAAGAAAGGAATTTAATTTAATTTCTCCAACTTCTTGATCAATCGCCAAAAATCACCAGCCTGCGGTCGTCGCTCGACCTCCTCAATCATCCGCGGCCACCAAAATCTGCCCATCTCCGGTAATCTTCAGATGACAAACGCTCCCAACTCTGGCTTCGTGGAGGATGTATGGCTGAAGAAACTAGAGAGCATGGAGAATGCCAAGAAATGCTTGCAGGGAGAAATCGAGCGGTTGGCGGATGAGGTCTTGGGGAAGCATGCAGGTACCCAGTGGTGTAGTTAGGATTTTATTTAAGGGGATGCCATAAAATGAAATTACATACGTAATTTCACATTTTATATTGTGAAATTATTCTAAAACTATATGAATCGTGTTGGGAAAGCATGCAGGTACCGATCTGAAGCCCGAGGTGGTGGAGGCCTTACTCAGTAGTAGAGGCAGTAGCACCCATGCCGGGTCGATCAAGAAGCTGGTTCTGGACCTGCTCAAGGATCTTGAAGCCACAGATGCGAGGCATCAAGTGGTTGAAATGGAGCTCCGGCAAATGAACGAGAGAAAAGTCAAGGTTGCTAAGCAAGGATGGCACATCGCCTTCGTACTCCTTTCAGTTATGATTGTATTCATGGTCCTTTTACCAAATCCAATTAGCTGTCTCTTCTAAGCTGAGATCTAGAGGAGTTTAGAATGTCCTTCATTCCAAAAGTAACTATCGATCAATACAACTCCTTGTGTTCTATGTTTCTCCATATATCTGATTTCTCCATATCTCCAATTTTAACTTTATGCTCTTAGTTGCATTCGGAAGTGAACTTTTTTTTTTTTTTTTTGTTACCATGCCATGAATTAATTAGAGGTGTCAATTTCTAATCCAATTCAATTCACTTAAATATTCAACTAATCCAATTCATTTAAATTCAATGCAATTGATATCAACCCAATTGAATTGGTGGATTCATGGATCGTTCGCAAATTACACCTTTTTCTCAATGAATAAGAATCTTTTTATTTCATCAAATATGATCAAAATCAATCAGTACAATGTAAGATGGAACCACAAAAAAAGAAGATAGAGAAAAACGGGGAAGCAACAACTAAGACTCTACTACCAAAAGTCTAGAAAAAACTACACTAAAGGCGAAACCAAAGAGGAGAAACCCTGGTTGTTGCAACTGCCTTGGGCCAGCCCCCTATTTTGGCTTCAGTTACACCCTGCATCTTCTTCAATAAGTCTTCTACTGCCTTACTCTTCTCAGCATAAAGCTTCCTGCAACTCTCCCTCCAAATTTCAAATCAACCCCCCCCCCCCCCCCCCCCAAACTATGACCCTGCAAACCTCAGACGACAACTCTAGCTAACACCTTCTTACCATGACCCTCTTGGATTATAATCCCACCTTGGTTAGAAAACAACCCTTATTACCTTCTTAGTGAAAGAGCAACAGATGAAGATACTCCCTGGATTCTGGAGCTTTCGGGCACAATAGACAAACATCATTAATTTATGGAGACTACCTCTTGATCTTGCCAAGGATGGAGATTCTATCCAAAATAATCAACCAAGAAGTAACCAAATTTTTGGGGATCTGCAACCCTTTCCAGATTAAACTGGACCATTCAAGCTTGTTCCCTCTAGGTCTAATGTTTTCCCATACAGTTTTTACCTTATACTTAGCTATCAGCTTGCATTCCCAAACAATGCTACTACTTGTAGCACACAACTTTCTTGCTGCTAACCCTCTGAGTTTGAGGATCTTGGACTAGACCCTTGATCCTGTAGTCTGTACTCCCCTTATATTCAGATTTTTCAACCTATATTCCTTTATCCAGGTTGTCTAGAGTGTTTGTTGATAAGCTAGGACGACCCATTTATGTCTTAGCAAACAAGCCTTATTCCTACTACATAGATCCTCTCTGAAAAGGTCTTCTCTATTATTATTTTTCATTTCCTTCTTGACTCTTGTTTCCAATATGCCTACAATATCCACCTTATATCTACTATATAGTATATACCCATGTTTAGAGGAGTTATTAAATCTCCACATGTTCCATGACAGAACAATCATTTTACTTGGATGGATGTTTGACCTTTGAAGGCCAACTTACCTTTTCCCCTTTTCTCAACTAAGGGACACGGTATTTTTGCATCTCCGGGAATTGCATAGAATCCTTGAGAGGAGTTACCACTAAAGAACCCACATCAAACTGGTCCAAAGAAGTCAATATCTCAAAAGAATTAGTAACCAACTACCCTTTCACAGGGCTAACTCTAGAACTACTTGCCACTACTTGCTAGAACTCTTTTTCAATTGGTAGAGTGTGTTTTGAAGCCACAATTGAAGACCAGTTGTTACCAACTGCCAGAGAAGAGACCAAGTTTGTAACTGTCTGGTTCAAACCCAACTTAGCCATTTCTACTGAACTTTCGACAATCACCCCCACTATCTGACCTGATTCATGTCTCGATTCATCTGCCTGATCGTGTTCCTTCTCCTTTTTGTTATCCATCTTGGCTATTACATCCACAACTGATTATGCTATTGGAGTCTGGTAGACCTCCTCTCATCCTCCTTTCCAGTATTACATTCATGCTCAAATTGTAACACTTCATGCACACTAAAGGAATATTGAAATAGTCTAGTTGGACATGAAAAGCAGGTCTCCTATCCGGAACACATTTTCACGAGTTTGGAATCTTATCAGTTTGTATCAGAGCCTCGTTCAAGTTAGTGGCGATTATGAAGAGTTCACCTTCAAATCAGGTCTCCTATCCTCGCTGTTTGGCTCAAGAGAAGGTGTATTATGTGCTTGTAGATGGAGGGATCAAATCAAATTTGATCAGCTCAAGAAAAATGACGAAATTGGGACTGCCAATGCGTCTACATCCCGCTCCATACATGCTACAGTTTCCTGGTGAGAAGATTTCAAGCATCACGGTTCGACAAGTTTCTGTGAAGTGTTTTATTGACGGATACGAAGACGAGGTCTTGTGTGACGTGGTGTCCAAGCTTAAATATCATATTATGTTGGGACAAATCTGGTTCCAAGAATATGGAGTTCATCTGGTCAACAGAAGGTCCAGAAGCTTCTGATTGATGCATCAGAAGAAGGTATTCATTTCGACACCTTTATCCGGGGAGGAAGCTGCTGATGATTGGAAGTCCGGGCAATGATTACAGCGAGAGTATGTAAAAGAAGCCATGAAACAGCTTGCAGCAAAGATGGCTCAGGTGGGAGCCTTACTTCAAACCATGGTGGAGCATAGATCGAGTTCGAGTTCTCCGATGCACCAAAGTGCAGACGTTTATCGGCCAATGGAAGATGACATTGAGCTGGAGGATGATTCAACGTGTTAGGCTCTATGGATATGTGAGGTTTTTTAAGCAACTAAGGCCAGAGAAGAGGAGGACCAGCCGTTACAAGCTTGGTTAGTGAAGCCTTTATTGCTACCAGTGAAGTTCAAGACACAGATCCGAATTTTGGAGCTTCTGTGCGCCAAGTCCAAAGCAGAAGGATTGAATGAGGATGCTACTACCCCATGGAATGAGAGCTCATCAATACCAACCTACTATATCGATTCTGAAGGGAGGAGAACTGATCTTGTTCAATCTGCGAAAACTAATTTTACTAACGTCGACGTTCAATTCTGCAGATTGAATGACGACCGACATTTCAAAGTTCATGGACTAGAGCCCGTGTTAGCCGATATAGTTGAGCTTTGATTCCATGGAATTGTGGAGATTGTTTGTTCTTTTTTATGATGGTGTAGAGAATTTTGTTAGGAAGCCAGGCTGGAAAGCTTTGAGGGCAAAGCTTCTTCAATGGGGAGGAACTGGTGTGATCCCCGTACGTAGAAGCGAATACCCGGCTGACACTGGTCAATTCCCCTACCGGGAAAAGATGAGAGGTATCGAGGAACAGAGGCAGGAGCACCCTGGGCATAAGGAGAAAATACCAGAGCGGGTATTTTGACCGGGTTTCGGGCCTGTCTGAGTTCGGCCTTCCTTTTTGGATTAGATTTTTGTTTCTTTTCGGGTTTTTGGTTATTTTATTTTCTCTGTGCTATATAAAGGGTTGCAAACTTTAATTTTAGGGTTAGACGTTTTTGAATAAGATTTTTACACCGAGGTGTGTTTTTCTCCATGGAGTCGCGTGCTTATGGTTATTGGTTTAGCTATTGGTGGACTCCATAGGTAGGGCAAGATTCTTGTTTGAGTTTTTCTATTGAAGATTCGAGAAGAGTTTGGCAAGACTCTCATTAATCAAGTGATTACACTTGATTGTGGCAAGTATCTATCCCAACATATCCTTTTTTATATGTTTGTTCGAAGGTTAATTCGAGCTATCCGAGTTTGAGTTGTTGTTGCACAGCTTTGACAAAAGAACCTAACCTTTCACGAGCTCGAGATCTTATCAGAATCCAACCTCCTTAAATGCTATTACCTGTCCCCTATTTATAACCAAGATAGATCCGACATTCTTGTTAGAACATTTAATGTATGGTTTCCTCCAATTTGCATGCGTCTAGACCGACTTTCCTTCTCGCACACTAAAAGGGGCGCATGCACCAATTTGTCAGTTTCTCTACTAATTTGGACGGATGCTTATCTTGTCTTCATGAGCCTCCGAGGTAGTGTTTCCTCTCTTGTACTGGCCAAGATGGGTTATGATGGGCTTTGCTCCATTTAGGCTTACTTTTCCATCAATGTTAAGTTGGCTTGGCTGGACTATTTCTAATCACCCCCAACAATTTTCCCCAGTTAGGCGCTCAATGTTTTTCTTATGAGCGCCTAACTTCCAGATGCAAGAAGTCTTTCGCCTAGTTTTCGTGCGTCCACGTACAACCTTGCGAGTCCATCATTTGTTAACCAACAACACGTTGCGCGTCCACACAACATATGCCTTCTTGGTAAAAGTTGGTGCAGCTTTATCAAAGGTAGCTAACCTATCCTTCATGCGCCCTTAGCACTTTCCCTTTGTACTCAATCCTACTAACCACTCTTTACGGCGCACAGGGCGCATGTTTTCTTTCTTCTCTCTATCCTTTCCCTCTTAGTTTATTAGATCTTTTCTCGCTACAAATTCTGGTCTTCTTTATCAAAAGAGGCACGTAAGTGTCCACACACCATATGCCTTTACGGCAAAGGTTGATTAAACTTTGAGAAAGACATTTTACGTGTCCCCCATACGCCCCTAACATTCTCCTTCTTGTTATCAAAAGCGGCACACATGTTCGCGCGTCTTGGCGTGACTTCTGCCCTCGTCCGCCATGCACTCCAATTGGTTACATTGGAATGCTTGGCGGACACTCGTCCACATGTCTTGACGCGATTTCTAGTGCTCATTCTCTCTCGAAAAACTTGAGTTATTAAGATCAACTAGTTTTTAAAAATAATTACCTCAATCCAGACAAGAAACATCTACTCTAGTGCCACAGGCACCAATGCTCGAGTCACCAGAGGACAAGGGCGTTATACTATAGTAGATTAGACCTTGTTTAACACTTGAAGAATCAGTAATAGTGTAACATAATAGGTACTAAATAGGGTAGTTAGTTCACTCAGTTAGTTTGGAAGTTAGTTATTTCCCGCTCTTTTTCTCTCTATGGTTCCAGACTGAGAATCGTGTGTACGAGTATGAAAATTTCATATAGAGGAGTGAAAACACATATAGGTGTCCATTATTATCACATCTAGGAGAAATTTTAGATGCTCACAGTCACAATTAGCAAAAGACTAGCAACAAAAACTTGGTTATTGTATGGA